TTAAAATGTTAAACAGGAGGCCAGTGTGGAGGTACATGCTAGAAGTTTCAGCTACTCAGGAGGCTGAGGTAGGAGGATAGCTTGAGCCCAGGAGTTCAAGTCCAGCCTAGGCAACATAAGAAGACCTTGTCTCTTAAAAAAAAAAAAAAAAAGAAACATAAAATTAAAAAAAAAAAGTTAAGAGATATTTAATATCAAGATGTGATTACACAATACAGGTGAAAAACAATATGCACAGAAGAATCAGTAGAGCAGAGTGGTTCTGGCACCAGGTTGCTTTGGTTTTATTTTACTTTTTTTTCTTTTTGTTTTTTTTTGTTTTGAGGCAGTGTCTCATTCTGTTGCCCAGACTGGAGGTCCGTGGCATGATCTTGGCTCATTGCAACCTTCATCTACCACATTCAAGCAATTCTCCTGCCTCAGCCTCCCAAGTAGCTGGGACTACAGGCACACACCACACCCAGCTGAGTTTTGTACTTTTAGCAGAGACAGGGTTTCACCATGTTGGCTAGGCTGGTATCGAACTCCTGGCCTTAAGTGATCAACCTGTCTTGGCCTCCGAAAGTGCTGAGATTACAGGTATGAGCCCGGCCCTGCTTTGGTTTTAAACCTAATTATGTCACTCACTAGCAATGAGACACTTATCTTTCTGTGCCTCAAGTTCTTCATCTGAAAAATAAGAATGCTAATAACAGCACCTGCTTCATAAGGATATTATAAGTTATGGATTAAATAAATATTACATGTAAAGACTCTGGTGCACAATAGATGTTAAAAAGGTGTTAACCGCTATTATTACATAATTTTGGTTTCTTAGTGCCCTACAAGTTTGGTAAGCAGTGATTCTCAAAGTGTGATCCTTGCAAGAACTGGAAATATCTGCAACCAGAGAACTTGCTAGAGATGTAATTCTCAGGCTTCACCTCAGACACACTCAATCTAGGATGGAGCCCAGCAATCTGTGTTTTAGCAAGCCTTCCATTTAACTGTGATGTGCAATAAAGCTTGAGGACTACTGTGTGAAGGAACAATTTGTAGCTCTGTGCTTGTTAACTTGTCTCAAGGGGTCCTGGTGTAAGACCTTAAAGAGTGAAGTACAGGCCCCTGCTCAAAGACGTTCACATTAAAAAATAGAAGTTAAACTGCTGTTGACCCAACAAAACTACATCCAGCCAAGTTTGGCCACCAGCCACCAGTTTCTTGCACTCATTTCTTGGCTAATTCTCTCTCTCAAATCAGTAAGCAGCTGTGATGTAGTGGAAAGAGTGAGTGCTAAACAAGGAAAGCCTTGATTTGAAGCCCAGCTCTGTTTCCTAGAGTTAAATTTTATCCATATGATAGGACAATAGTATCTCACAGGAGTGGTTTTTTTTTTTTTTTCCTTTTTTTTTTTTTTGAGACAGAGTCTCACTCTGTGGCCTCGGCTGGAGTGCAATGGTGCAATCTCGGCTCACTGCAACCTCCACCTCCTGGGTTCAAGCAATTCTCCTGCCTCGGCCTCCTGAGTAGGCACATGTCACCATGCCCGGCTAATTTTTTGTATTTTTAGTAGAGATGGGGTTTCATGGTGTTAGCCAGGATGGTCTTGATCTCCTGACCTCGTGATCTGTCCGCCTCAGCCTCCAAAAGTGCTGGGATTACAGGTGTGAGCCACTGCACCCGGATGAGGAGGTTTTAAAATTAGGATGATATACTAAAAACACTGCCCTATAATAAATCCTCAATTAAATTTTCATAGCATTTGTGATATCTGTTCCTGTATTATTTTGAATAATTACATGCTTTATTCAACTTATATTTATGAACAGTTTAGTTTAGCCTCTCTCTTCTATTAGACTCTAAGCTCCTCTGAGACAGAGATAAAATTTTGCATCCCTTTAAGTTCTTATAATACCTACTTTAATAATTAGTCCCTCCCAAATCTACCTTGAGCTTCAATCAAAGCTTGTGATTGGAAGTCTGACTGTATGTGGTATGAGTCTGGAAGAACATAGTCAATTCTTAGGAAAGACGTATAGTTTACATAAGCAGATATATGGCCGACTTACAAGAATCCTCAAAGTTATGATTCCCTTCCTAATATATATGTAAAAGATAAAAGATCAAGAACAATGATGGGTGCTAGTAAAGGTGGATGACTTCTGCATTTATATTTACCATGTTCATTAAAAGCAATAAAGGTAGTTTAAAAGTGCCATACTAGAAACTATGAAAAAGATGAATTTCAATTTTAACTGAATGTTGGCAATTTAGATACTAGTGATGCTGGTGTGATGGTGGTCGAAGAGATGTGTATCAGCACAGCTAATGTCAGGGGCCCAGCTTATTCTTTTCACCTGGAATACTAAAAACAAGAACTATTATCTACCCTACAAAAATCATGTGAAAGTTAATTAGGCAGTTAAGTTAATCTTCATTAGGCAAGATCATGGAATTTGGAGGGAGAAGAGGAAGCCTGTGGATCTTACATAAGCAGGTGAGAGGGTTTCTACACTCCTAAGGTCTCATAAGAAACAGTATGTCGTATTTTTGACCTAACAATTTTTTTTCTTTGTAGGTACCCAGCCATCTAAGCACTAGTAACAAAGAATTAATTCACATATTAAACTTGGCATGATTAATTTTATTGCCCCTTTATCTTAGCTTTCTTACTTTCTGAACTTTAAGTGCATCTACGAACTTATTAAATAACTGACTTTCAGGTTAAATGACCTAGACAAGCCAGAAAAAGGCTTCTCATTTATTCAGTGAGGTGGGAAGTGATTATTTTGTCAACGTACGATTCAGAATGGCATATTCAAATACGATTTTAAAAATCTACTTCACTATTTACATGTATCATCAATAAGAAAAATTTGGCTTGGTAATATTAAGATATAAAAGTACATGACAGTGTTAGAATTGCAGACTGTTGTCATTTCATGTGCTACAGAGCTTTAGTAATTCAGTTCTTTGGATTCTGTACGATAAAAAGTTTCACTGCAGGTGTAACCTTTTAGTCACAGCATAAAATAATCTCCACTCAAGATATCCAATTTTTCTACTTATAAGCATTCAATTAATTAAAAAATCAGTGGCAAAACCAATCTGTGTAGTTACCAACAAACTTGTCAGAATAAACAACTTTTCCTGCATGAATTCTTTGAGAAAAACTTTACTGAAAAATATCCCCTCCAAGATGGGAAAAATCACCTCTCTTGTAATTACAGTCCATTATGGAGGTAAAATTGACAAGAAAATGACATTTGAAGGATTTCTCTTTCAAACACTTAATTTCTTTTAAAAAAATTGTAAACAATTATTAGGTGCAAATCAAAGCTAATACCCTTTATTAGCCTCTATTTTTTTAATGCATTTCAAAGCATCAAATTCTATATAAACACACACACACACACACACACACACACACACACCCCTAATCAGAAGGTTTCCTGGGCGGCTACAGAAGACTCAAAAATGATCTCCTGGACTTCACTAATGTTTCTACTTTGTGCCAAATGTTTCAGAAATTTTGAGGTAGTCCACTTACCTAAGGTGATATTAAGCTTCTAGAAAGCAAGAATTTCCGGAATAAGTGAAAGGGGATGAATGTACAAAAATAATATCAGCTTTCAATTAACATACGAATTTTGGTCTGTATGAAGAGGCAGTTTCTTAAACAAGTGACAAAAGAATAAAGCTGTTGCCTCTTTAACCGTAAACATCCCTGCATTCCTAAGAGAAGACTCTAAGCTAAAACCTAGCAAAAGATCTGAGCCTAACATTTTGGGGTTTTTTGGTAGGAAGCAGGGTCAAAATCACTCTCTAGGTTTGAGATTGGGATCCAGCATACACTGGTGACTTGACCTTGGGCAAGTCACTTAATTCCTTTTAGTCGCCGTTTCCTTAATTGTAAATGAAGTCAACACCACCTGGTAAAGGTATTATAGGACTGATGTGAGGATGAGACGACATTTGTGAACATATTATTAAATATGTAAACTATAAAGCAATAGTAAGCAAATGCTAGTTACTATTCTATGTAATAGGGGCCTAACCTTTCTTGCCTACGTCCTTATCTGTAAAAAGAGGGCAGATCGAGGTCTGAATGCCTATCCAGTCCCTTATCAGCTGCGTGAACTTGGGCAAGTCATTTCCTTTCCGTGTTTGTTTCTTAAGGTTATTTTGAAGATCAAATATATCTTCTTACATAAATACTGTCCAGACTCATATTAAGAATTTAACAAATGATAGCGCTTATTACTCTCTAGGGGGGTAGGGCAGTAAAGAGCAAATGAAATTAAGCTTCGTTAAGAGGCTTTGTATATCCACATAAAACTCTTCAGACATCCAAGGTACCATTATTTGTACTGTCAACTGCCAAGACATGCAGGAAACTAAAAATCAAATGGCGCCTCAGCGACTCGCACTAAAGAGGGAGAGAAGGCAGAACTTCCTAGAATCAACTATTTTTTCCCCTTACGGCCTCCAGCCTAGATTAGACCATTTATTCAATTTCCCAGCCCACAGTATCCCTGGACGTTTATTTACTGTACCTTTTTCACTGAGAGCCTTTCCACTCCCCTCCCCTTCTATAGTCGTGAACTTCAGACCCTTTGCTTCGACTCCCACTGCCTTTAACTCTGCTTTTATCAAGCTTCCCTGAAGCCTCCCCGCCGCCTAAGGAGAAAGTGCAGCAGGACGTACCGCAGGGCATCCTAGGAAATGTGGTCTCTCAGACTCTTCGGCTTGAGCTGCAGAGTGGGGAAGACGACGAAGAAGATCCAGGTAAAACTACAACTACCGGCAGGCAACGCGAAGCACCATCTTTCTTTCGCCCCTTTTCCTGTTGCCGTCCTCTTCCTCCTCCTCTCCAGCGCTGAACTACTTGGCCTCACGGTACTTGTAGTTCTATCTGAACTCAAGATCCTAGGGCTAGATGGCCAGCACAGAGGCTAGAGGACTCTAATTCCCAGAGGGCAGAGCGGAAGCTGCGCCTGCGCACACTCAATGAGGGCGTGTATGTCTGTGTGTCTGAGGGAGAGAGAGCGAGAGTGAGTGAGTGTGAGTGCGGGGTTGGGTGGTGGCCGTTACGTTCGGGGCAACGGCTACGGCAGTGGAGAAGTAAGAAGAGAAACAACGTCCGGCGCTTCCGCCTTCGCTTAGGAGGAGGAGGAGCTGGTAGGGAAAGGAAAGTGATTCGCCCAGGGCCTGGACAAGACCGAGTCGGGTCGGTGGGGGTGGGCTATGAGCGTTTGAGGGTCGCTTGGGACGCGGAGCGAGACACGAGAGCCGGTAGCTATGTCTCAGCCGCCGCCGCCGCCGCCGCCTCCGCTGCCGCCGCCACCTCCTCCCCCTGAGGCTCCGCAGACGCCGTCGTCCCTGGTGTCGGCGTCGGCGGCTGCTTCGGGGGGGCTTTTGAAGCGGAGAGACCGGAGAATCCTTTCCGGGAGCTGCCCGGATCCGAAGTGCCAGGCGCGTCTGTTCTTCCCGGCCTCCGGTTCTGTCAGCATCGAGTGTACCGAGTGCGGCCAGCGGCACGAGCAGCAGCAGCTGCTGGGGGTTGAGGAGGTGACCGACCCGGACGTAGTGCTACACAACCTGCTGCGGAACGCGCTGCTCGGGGTGACGGGGGCACCCAAGAAGAACACGGAACTGGTTAAGGTGATGGGCCTTTCCAACTATCACTGCAAATTGTTGTCGCCCATATTAGCTCGCTATGGAATGGACAAACAGACAGGCCGGGCCAAGCTTCTCCGGGACATGAACCAGGGCGAACTGTTCGATTGCGCTTTACTGGGTGACCGCGCCTTCCTCATAGAACCAGAACATGTTAACACAGTGGGTTACGGGAAGGACCGCTCCGGAAGCCTCCTGTATCTGCATGACACTCTGGAAGACATTAAGCGGGCCAATAAAAGTCAGGAATGTCTCATTCCAGTGCATGTGGACGGGGATGGACACTGCCTGGTGCATGCTGTGTCTCGGGCTCTAGTAGGCCGAGAGCTCTTCTGGCATGCCTTGAGAGAGAATCTTAAACAGCACTTTCAGCAGCACCTCGCCCGATATCAAGCTCTGTTCCATGACTTCATTGATGCTGCTGAGTGGGAGGACATTATCAATGAGTGTGACCCTCTGTTTGTACCACCTGAGGGTGTTCCCTTGGGCCTGAGGAATATCCACATATTTGGTCTTGCCAATGTGCTACATCGTCCTATTATTCTGTTAGATTCCCTCAGTGGCATGAGAAGCTCTGGTGATTATTCAGCCACCTTTCTACCTGGGCTCATCCCTGCAGAGAAGTGCACTGGTAAAGATGGTCATTTGAACAAACCAATCTGTATTGCATGGAGTAGCTCCGGTAGAAACCATTATATCCCTTTGGTAGGCATAAAAGGGGCTGCTTTGCCCAAACTGCCTATGAATTTGCTTCCTAAAGCATGGGGTGTACCTCAGGACCTTATTAAAAAGTATATCAAACTTGAAGAGGATGGTGGTTGTGTTATTGGAGGTGACAGAAGTTTGCAAGATAAATACTTACTTAGACTTGTTGCTGCTATGGAAGAAGTCTTTATGGACAAACATGGTATCCATCCTAGTTTGGTTGCTGATGTCCATCAGTATTTCTACAGAAGGACTGGAGTGATAGGAGTACAGCCTGAAGAAGTCACAGCAGCTGCTAAAAAGGCAGTAATGGATAATCGCCTTCACAAATGTTTGCTCTGTGGTGCCCTTTCTGAACTTCATGTTCCTCCAGAGTGGTTGGCTCCTGGAGGGAAATTGTATAACCTGGCAAAAAGTACTCATGGACAGCTGAGGACTGATAAAAATTATAGCTTTCCCTTGAACAATTTGGTTTGCTCATATGATTCAGTGAAAGATGTTCTGGTACCAGACTATGGACTGAGTAACCTAACAGCTTGTAATTGGTGCCATGGCACATCTGTGCGAAGGGTCAGAGGAGATGGGTCTATTGTGTATTTGGATGGAGACAGAACTAATTCTAGGTCCACTGGTGGCAAATGTGGTTGTGGATTCAAACACTTTTGGGATGGTAAGGAGTATGACAATCTACCAGAAGCTTTCCCTATTACTTTAGAATGGGGTGGAAGAGTGGTCAGAGAAACAGTGTATTGGTTCCAGTATGAAAGTGATTCATCTTTGAATAGTAACGTTTACGATGTTGCAATGAAACTTGTTACCAAGCACTTTCCAGGTGAATTTGGGAGTGAAATCTTAGTTCAGAAAGTTGTCCACACTATATTGCATCAAACTGCCAAAAAGAATCCTGATGATTATACTCCTGTAAATATAGATGGTGCTCATGCCCAAAGAGTTGGAGATGTACAAGGACAAGAATCAGAGTCTCAGCTCCCAACTAAAATTATTCTTACTGGACAGAAAACAAAAACTTTGCACAAGGAGGAGTTAAACATGAGTAAAACTGAAAGAACTATTCAACAGAATATCACGGAACAGGCTTCTGTAATGCAGAAACGGAAAACAGAGAAGTTAAAACAGGAACAAAAAGGGCAATCCAGGACTGTTTCTCCCAGTACCATTCGTGATGGCCCATCCTCTGCACCTGCTACACCTACCAAGGCTCCCTATTCACCCACAACTTCTAAGGAGAAGAAGATCCGAATCACAACTAATGATGGACGGCAGTCCATGGTTACCCTTAAGTCTTCAACAACCTTTTTTGAGCTTCAGGAAAGTATAGCCAGAGAATTCAACATTCCTCCATATTTACAGTGTATTCGATATGGCTTTCCTCCTAAAGAGTTAATGCCACCACAGGCAGGAATGGAAAAGGAACCAGTTCCTTTACAGCACGGCGACAGAATTACAATAGAAATTCTAAAGAGTAAAGCTGAAGGTGGTCAGTCTGCTGTAGCACACTCAGCCCACACTGTGAAACAAGAAGATATTGCTGTTACTGGTAAGCTGTCATCTAAGGAACTTCAGGAGCAAGCTGACAAAGAAATGTACTCCTTGTGTCTTTTAGCAACATTAATGGGTAAGATCAATTTAATTCTGATGGTATATCTTAATTGTAAATATAATACACTGAGTTTTCCTGTTGTCTTTGGGGGGAAATCTGTGGCCATTTTAAGTTTTTGATTTTATGTTTTAGGATTAGGGAAGAATTATTTTTACTATGTTGACAGTTAATGGATAGATGTTAATATGATTATTAACTATTAGGAAAATAACTAGAAAGTTAAAGTAGTCCCTCAATAATGATCAACAGATTATTTAAGTATATCTTATTCTTACAATTGCTTTTTCAAAAACAGACCTGTGTTTATTTAAAGCATTTTAAATTTGGTAGGTTCTATTGAGCCTGTGTACCTTATGCCTTTTTCATTTATTTCTAATTTTTATTTTCCTGTATGTCATGTGATTTCAGACTTCCTGTATGATGAATTGCAGTTTCTGGTGTTTATATTCTCACTGCACTCCCACCTAGTAGTTTCTTACATTTCATTTTCTTCCTTTCCCAGTTCATTACATTTTTCTTATTCGTACACAGGATTAGTATTTAAGTTCACTAGGGTTTGTATTTAAGTAATTTCACTACTCAACAAATCTTTGACATCAATTGTAATGAACTATTATATGTTATAATTCATCAGAAACATAAGAAACAGAGGGTAATGGTGTGGAGAAGTATTTCTTTCTAATAATTCAGCATAAATTAAAGAAAATATATTATCAACCAAATGTGTAATTTAAAGCTTTAGATTATTTAGGATACTGTCCAATGGTGTACTTTTTACAGTATCTGTATTTGCTTAGTCTTAGTTTTGAAATAACTGTTAATATGCTTGACTAAGTCTTAAAGTATGAAGTAAAATTTTAAATGTGTTAGTTACTGTAAGGTAACTAACACATTGCTGAGATTAGATATTTCGACTAGAAAAGTGATCTGGGTTTTGATTCTATTTTCTGATAGTACTATATGGCAGTGAATTGGGCCTTGACCTACCAAAATGAATATTGCTCCTGGCTTATTTGAGGGAGTAGTAAATAGGAGATCGAAAATCCTTGCACATATTTAAAACTTGAAATTGTTGATTTTAGTTTGGCAGACATAGTAATTGAATTAGGTGGTATGTTAGGAACTGTTCTACGCACTTTATAGATTTCTTTTTTTTTTTCTTTTTTTTTTGAGACGGACTCTTGCTGTGTCACCAGGTTGGAGTGCAGTGATGCAGTCTCAGCTAACTGCAACCTCCGCCTCCTGGGTTCAAGCGATTCTCCTGCCTCAGCCTCCTGAGTCGCTGGGACTACAGGTGCCCACGCCCAGTTAATTTTTGTATTTTTAGTAGAGATGAGGTTTCACCATGTTGGCCAGGATGGTCTCAATTTCTTGGCTTTGTGATCTGCACTCTTCTGCCTCCCAAAGTACTGGGATTACAGGTGTGAGCCACCATGCCTGGCCTTTTTAAAAAATTATTTTATTTTAATTAATTCATTTATTTTTTGAGACAGTCTCACTCTGTCACCCAGGCTGGAGTGCAGTGGTGTGATCTGGGCTCACTGCAGTCCCTGCCTCGTGGGTTTAAGCAATTCTTTTGCCTCAGCCTCACAAGTAGATGGGACTACAGGCTCGTACCACCACATCCAGCTAATTTTCGTATTTGTAATACAGACTGGGTTTTACCATGTTGGCCAGGATGGTCTTGATCTCCTGACCTCGTGATCCGCCTGCCTCAGTTTCCCACAGTGCTGGCATGAGCCACCATGCCCGGCCCACTTTATATATTTCCATCTCTAAAGAGTATTTGTTTCTTAGCAACTGCATGGAATAAAGATTATGTGATCTTCAGAGTCAGAAAGATCTAGAATTTTAATCTTGGCTCTATTGCTTATTAGTGATTTCAGGCAGCTACTTAACTCTGCAGTAGTTCAGTTGCCTCCTCTACAACTCCTCTTGTAGTTGTTATATAAGAGGGCAACAGTAAAGTATTTGTAGAACTCTGAAAATTAAATAACATTCTCACAGAATGGATAAAATTGGATACATGCAGAGGGCACTTTAAAAGACCTGCAATCTCCCAGGTCAAAAACAGGAAAGAGAGGGTCTTCCTCAATACAAGATGAACTCTTGAGAATGTGGCTCTTTCCTTTATCCTTATATGCCCAGAACCTAATATAGTCCTCAGCAGGTAGTATGTACTCTGAAATGTTTTTTAATTGAATTAAATAAATGACATTAACACAGCTAAAGAAAGGCTGTATTTGCAGAAATTGAATGGATGGTCAGTCAGCACTGAACATTGAAAAAAAGTCTAAAAAGCAGAATTCAGCAGTGTTTATATACTGCTGTACAAAGGAAAAAGATACATCATCTGGGGTTCATGAAAATTCTGGTAACTAGAAAGGTAATCTCTGTTGAGGGGCAAGAATATTTGATCAATCCTGACTATGGCCTGGCTGAAACACCTCTATCCCTTTGCCTGATTTCCATGTTCATCAAGCATCTATTCCTAACGCTTACTTAGCTTCCTGATAAGTTTTGATGTACAGGTGGCAGTGCAAGTAAGGAAAGCTGTGTTCTCCATTGTAGACTAATAAATTGGCATGGGCAGGATTATGGTCAGTAGTCTTAAAAATCTGATCAGTATATTTCATAATGAAAATTAATAAAATATAATTCTGGCACATAGTTAGGTTTTGAATTTGGTTGGAGGTTCTTGGACCTATCTGAGAGAACTTGAGTATAGACTGTGATGAGTTTACCAACATAATGTCTTTCTGTTCTGATCTTTTCCCTCTTCACAGCCAACATTTATGATCCTGTAAACCCACAGATTACTTTAAAACTGCCTCCACTACCAACACAAAATTTGAGTATAAAAGAGAGCTTTTTGTTAATTTTGTAGTAATGTCGCTTGAGATACTTTCTGCTTTAAATTTAGGTATTAAGTGCATAGTCTGTATTATATTAGTCCCTCATAAATATTACTTTTCTTCCTCTAGTTCTCTTATAACTGTGTTTGAATTATGTAGAAGTTTTTTTTTTTTGGAGACAAAGTCTCTTTCTGTTGCCCAGGCTGGAGTGCATTGGTGAGATCTTGGCTCACTGCAACCTCCACCTCCTGGGTTCAAGCAGTTCTTGTACCTCAACCTCCTGAGTAGCTGGGATTACCGGCGCCCGCCACCACGCCCTGCTAATTTTTGCATCTTTAGTAAGACGGGGTTTAACCATGTTGGTCAGGATGGTCTCGATCTCCTGACCTCGTGATCCACCCACCTTGGCCTCCCAAAGTGCTGGGATTACAGGCGTGAGCCACTGTGCCTGGCCAAAGATACTCTTTAAAAACAAAAAAAGGTGCTTCTGAAAAGTCAATTTGGGGATAAATAATAACCATATGTAAAGAATGCTGGGGAACTGTTGATGTTCAGATTGGAGAGGGCTAGAAAATAACAGAGCTTGTTTAAAAGATTGCAGATTTCAAAGTGCAGAAATTACTTTGAATTACCAAATGTGAGCTAAGCTGTGCTATGTTAGTTTAGAATATAGCTCATCAGGCTTTATACTGTTTAAATAGCTGGCTCTTTCTCATTTAAGTTTAGTCTTAAATACCACCAAACAGGGTTTGAGAAATTCTTGCCAACCATTCTAAATAGGTTCCCTTTATCAGTATATCCTGTCGATGTCCCTCACAGCATCTATCACAATTTTTAATAATCTTATTTGTTGGTTTAATTATTTGTTTGCCTCCCCCACTATATTGTAAAGCCCACCAAAACAGAGACTGTAGTGAGTACCTTATTACCTAGTTCAGGGCCGGGCACATAGTAGGTACCAAGTAAATGCTTGATAAATTAATAAATGCAAGTATTTCAGCAAAATCAATGTACGCTGTGAACTTGTATGTATGCTGAGTGTACGAAGATAAATGGGAGTCATTCCTTGTCCCATTAACTTACCTGGAGGCTTTCAGCTGAGGGAGTTGCATACTTTTGCTTTCATCAGATCTCCAGCTTACTTTTCTAAATACATAAAAATTATAAAACCCCCAAATAAGACCAACATAGCATTTTAGAACTTCTCATTTGATTAAGAATCAAATATATACATGGGGATTGTATGTTTTCTTTCTTTCTTTCTTTTTCTTTTTCTTTCTTTTTTTGACAGAGTCTTGCTTCATCACCCAGCCTAGAGTGCAGTGGTGTGATCCCAGCTCACTGCAACCCCCACCTCCCCAGTCCAAGTGATTCTCAGCCTCTCAAGTAACTGGGACTACAGGTGCATACCACCACACCCAGCTAATTTTTTGTATTTTTAGTAAAGATGAGGTTTTGCCATGTTGCCCAGGCTGGTTTCTAACTCCTGAACTCATGCAATCAACCCACCTCAGCTTCCCAAAGTGCTAGAATTACAGGTGTGAGCCACCGTGCCTAGCCTGTAAATTTTCACTAAATAGGCTGACTGCATGATAGCCAGGGGCATGAGATTTTTCTTTCATTTTTAAGTAGAATAATCATTGAATAGATTGTCTATTACTTATATTAATAAAACAATAAATAGGTGTATTAGTCTTTGGCTTAGTACAAATCATTCATGGAACCTAGTAACTTTGAATCTTAAGAAATATAAAATGGAATAACAGTGTTCTACTGATAATATTTTACCCTTTAATCTCTTTTATCCAGACCACTGGAGGTAATTGAACTTAATTTTTTGCAGACAGTCATCTTGATTATTTATATAATACTTAAAAGACTAACTCTGGTTTTGCAAAATATGTTGTTTGAATTTCTTGTAGGCCTGGTGCGGTTGCAGTGAGCTGAGATTGTGCCACTGCACTCCAGTCTGGGCAACAGAGCAACACTCTCTCCAGGAAAAAAAAAAAAAAAAGATCAGTTATTTGTGGGTTTTCCTTCATGGTAGATAGGATAGGTGGAATATTATCCACCATAAATACTAGGCTAATTTAATTTTTCTTAGTGTTATATTTTATTAAGTTTCAAGTTTTGTTTGTTTTCCTAGATGTAAGGACAGTT